CCAAGAGAAAACTCCAACAATTGTATATTTTCCTATTGAAAACCGATACACATTAGCATCACTGTGTCCAATATTTTTTAGAAGGAGATGTCATGGAAAAGGGAAAGATTGCTTACTATTAGTCTTGATCTTCGTTGTCTCAGTCGTTTCTGCGATTTAGTTAAACGATCAAGGGTTAATGTTTTATTGCCTTTAAAAGACCCAAGGAATCATGAAGCTCAAGCATACTGGCAGAAACACGAAAGAGCAGAGTTAAGAATAAAAGCTCACTCACCTCTACCATGGAAGCAAATCTGAGAGAAAGTTTCTTGTTCATGAAGTTTAGCCAAATTTCAGACAGTAACTTGTTAAGCCATTGGCAATGTTCCAATGGAGTTATCGTCTGGAGAAAGCGACAACGCAGCACTCTTAAACATTGAGCGATATTACAAAATGTAAACAAAACTAAGGTAACAGAAACTCTCACCGACGCATTGAAAATGTTTTGCTTCCACTTCTTGGTAAGATCTTCTGCAAGTATTGCCCTTTGGTAGCTTCCATACTGAAGAGAAACATATGATCACACATTAAAAAAAAAACAGGACTTTAGCTTACTTTTCCACTCTCTATGTTCAGATTTGTGCACACAAACGCACTTATCAAGGCTTTAGAAAATTTTACCAAGTTCAGATAACAAAAACACCCCAATCATTTTTTAGTATATAGGCAAACACAAACACATAAATGTAACTCTAGCTAATATATCAATTACCTTCCTTGGAAAAAAGACAATTTACCAAAACTATCAATCTCATGAGTGGAAAGATCAAACTCTTTTTGTTATTTGGCAAGTTTGTAAATGTAAGGTATATACAAAAAGCATAAAGCTTCCAACTTTATCTGAGGATTCTTAAGTATCAGATTCAACGGATCCAGACAAATTAACCAGTGGTTTAGCAAGAACCGATGGATTATCAAAGGGATAAACTAAAACAAGAGAGGAACTACTTTATCATCATCAATTCGTAAGCTTTGAAAGGCAGAAAGATCCTTGGAATAAAAAAAAAGTGAAACAAACCTGAAGAGAAGCCCAAACGGCGACAACAAGAGGAACCCAATTGGAGAAAGCAAAGACCCATCTCTCAATTGCCCAGAAAGCTAAGACCAAAGGAACAAGCAACACCAACGAATGTCTCTCAGCAACTAGATGATTTACAAATTCTCTCGCAGCTTCCGTGTTTATGAAACCTTTCCTCTTTATTCTCCGACTCATCTCTTCAAATCGCCTTCAACCTTCCTCACAAATCCATACTCGGGTCAATAAAACATCTCCACCAGATTTTTTCCGGGAAAATCTAAAAGCTTTCTAAGTCAAAGCTCTCGGAATTAAAGTGATATAAGTAAGAAAGTTTCCTTGAGCTGATATTCACCTTTTTTATCCTTTTTTATCCCACCATTTGATGTCCTCAACAAACTAGAGATCCACGGTGTAAGTGAAACCGACGAAATTTCTGAGAAAATGAAAAGGAAAAAAAGCAAAAAAAAAAAGTATTTCTTTCGAATAAGAAAGGTTTTCTTAGACAAGAATTTCGATCTCCTAATTATTTGTCGGAAACTCACACAGCTTCTTGCATAGAGAGTAACGGATCTTTAGACAAAATGAACAGTGTAAGCAAAGTAAAACCTATACCTCAAATTATGCCTTTTGTATTTAGCTAGATATTTATGCAAAAAAATAAAGAAAAACTTTAATCTGCCAAAGATTAGTTATCAAAAGTGAAATAAAATACTAAAATAAAAAGGAATAATATTAAAAAATCCATTAGTTATTATTTATGGTATGGTTTTATCTGTGGTCAACACCTAGAATTGGTGTTTAATAACTTTAAATTACAGAAAACACTCCACTAGTATGTATAACTAATTGTTAAATGTGATTAATACAAATCTACATTAGTCCAGCTTTTAGGTCCCATGTAATTTAGTTTTATGAGATCTTGACCGTTTACGAAAAATTACAGTGAAAGCTAATGACCGTCCGATGTACTAATTGACAAGTACTACTAGTTTAACTTCACTGGTCGGACTCGGACAACTTTAACGTTGACTATTCAGATTGTTAAAAGACGCGTGATGATGATTAGAGATCTGACGAGAACGGCACATTCTGTTTTATCATTTCTTGTATAGACAATAATACTTCCAATTCTTGTTATAAATTTTCATTTTAGGTTCTTTTTCACTAAAGTTCATAGAATACGAATGTTCTAAATATGTTTCTCTTACCTTAATTATATTCAAGGATGAGGAATGATTGAATATTCTCATAGCTTCTTTATAAATCTAAAAATTTAAAAAGTTGAGATCTCCAAAAAATTACCCTTAAATTTATGTCCTATTGTATTAAATAAAGTTATGAAATCAAGATACTTCATATCCAAGCAAACGTCAATTTAAAAATAAATGGGTTATAGGATTTATAGTTTGATTGGAATTGTTTCATTTTCGTTATTTTCAACTTCATATTCGTTATCGCATATTCGAATAAAAATGACAATTTTGCACCGTCCTTTATTTATTGACTTGTTGTTCGTTTTTATTTAAGATGGAAGTCCTTCCGTCAATAATCAATATCAGTGAGCTTCACATAATAATAAAATCTTTTTTTTTTACTTTTTTTTCGATCCATCACGTTATATGCATTTACTAAATTGTCTATTCTTTTGTATTTAAAAAAAAATACTTCCTATAGCAAACAGCCAAACACCAGTAGTACACGAATCACAATTCATGGCCTTGTTATATAAAGACCCTTAAAGGAAAAAAATGTGAATTCGGAGTTATTGAGGTAGGTAAGCTGGACCGCAATGATCGGGGGATATACATACACACAACTTGTGCCTTTTAATTTTTAATGGACAAACAAATTATTTGTGACCACAAAAATTGTAATAAGTATATCAAACTAATAAGTGTTTTATCCTATAGAAATATCTATAATTTGACAAAACTACACGTAAAACAAACTACTTTCCAAAGTAACGGGGTTATTAATTATTACATCCCCTAGTACATATAGTCAAGTGGCCAAGTCTGAGATATGGGTGAATCTAAGTAAGATTGATGAGACCAACAAAGTGATATCCTGATACACTTTGGATATGAGCCTGATCTTAAACTTGTTTCTGAAATAAAGTTTGTGGTTGACGAGGATAAGAAAGTCGCTGTGTGTTGTGAGAGATGGTTTGACATTGGAAGACGAGACTAATTAAGTCCATCGACAAGATATTCATTATCGGGGAGGATAATAAAGTCCGTGAAGTGGGCTTTGGTCTGGTGGATGGATATAATAGATGACCCAGGAGTTTGGCCAGTTATTTCATGTTTGGTCCAAATTGAGCGAGCTGGCCAGGCAAAAGACAAAGAGGGTTCTAGCTAGCTACACATGTAATATTTGTTTTATGTATTTTCTACATATAGACAAATATAATTGGTTCTCTATTTATATCTTAGAAATGCACCGCTTCATCTTGCAAATATTGGACCAAAACACATAACCACAGCTAAGCTTGCTTTTTTTTGAAGTTGAAACATATAAGATGTTTACTCATGATACATGACTCTTTTATTGTCGTTTAACCTAAAGTTATGCAAATATATGTATTGAAAAAAGATCCATAGAGTTACTCCAGGGAAGGCGCCATTAGGTTTTGACAAACACTGCATCTTCCTCTCAAGACTCCCATGCATTTTCACCAGTTTCCTCAAGCAAACTGCATACAGAGTGTTTTCAATCATCTCAGAGGTGAGCAAACAACAACTTTCCCCAATTGTAGATGTTGGCTTGATGCTATTCTCATTTTTGTTATCTCACCATTTGAGATCCGTCCTTGTATTCCAGCAGAACAGTTTGTTTTGTATTTTATTCTTTCGTATTCATAGCTAAAGCATTTGCTGTGTGCGATTTTTCTGTCGGAAATGTACCTGCAGATTCATTATATACAATTCTACTTTGTGGTCACGAGGGCATTAAATTAGTTGAGTTGAGACATGTGAAATAGGTCTCTCTACCTGCACAGCCACTTCCAAACTCAAACTCAAGCCCTTTGCTGCATGCAACTACATACATGTATAGGTGAAACCTTCCAAAAAGGAAGATAAATAATCATCACATCATTTTTACAAAGGAGGAGATCCAAACCTATTCCATAGTCAAATTCTAATGTTCTAATGGTCTACTAGATGTACAACCTGGTGGACTCGTGAGACATAAGTAAGAATCTGGATATCTATATATACGATAAGCAGCAATATATATGTCACATATAAAGTTTTGAACTAAAAAATGCCAAATCCATTACCTGAACTGATCGGACTCCGTACTTGATGTCATGAATTGCATGCATCGGTATGTGAAGGCCTATTTGCAACAGACGTTTCACTGTACGTAATCCCACAAATCCAAAAGTAAACGTTTATTTCCCAAGTTACAGTCAGTAACGCAATCTTCAAACCCTGATGATGGCTAATTATGGCGGTACGGTTTAATTTGGTTCAGACCTCTCTGACTACAAACGATTCAAATGTTAAGATAGATTCATTTATTGTCCTCAATTAGCAAATTCCATGTAATTTTTCACTATTATAGTTACAGATAACAGAACTATAAAAAAATGGAAAGTTATATGTGATAATCCATCATTATCTCAAGGAATCCTCGAATTTTAAAAAGTTTAAACCTCGAATTTAGCAATCTAGTGGCGTAAATCTCTTAACCGTCCGTATTAGCCTCAGTTTTTAAAAAATTACTCACGTGAGTGGCGCATAGTGCTCACTTGGAATCACCCTCTAGATGACACGTGGCTCACTCACTGGAACAGACTTAAAAAAAAAACACGAAACGAAGAAAGAAGCTTATAAAAAAGCCACACTCCTCTCTACCTCTACTCTTCCACACATCTCCCAAAACCATGAATCTCAATTTTGTTGTCATTTTGTTTTACTTTCAATAAACTTTTTTTTTTCTTTTAATGTATGATTCGTTTATTCCTTTGTTAATCAAAACACAAAACATTACTATTTCTTACGTTTTCATTTTTTCAAAATCATATAGTTATATATATTAATTAAATGAGCTCAACGTTCAACGGCCAGGCTCACCATCCAAAGAGAGAACCAAATGAAAACGGAATCTTATATCCTCCTTCACCGTCGACGTTAAAAGTCAACAAAGACTCTCACGTTATTAAAAAACCACCGGCTCCGTCTCCGTCTTCTTCTTCCTCTGCTGCGGCGGCTAAGCCTCGTCATCCGGTGATCATTTACACACACACTCCCAAAATTATACACACTAATCCTAAAGATTTCATGGCTCTTGTCCAAAAACTCACCGGAATGTCCCGCTCCGACGAAGATCCCGGCGGTAAAGCAAAGACGGATCGCGGAGGCAAATCTATCAACCAGAGCGTCTCTGATCACGCCGTCGAAAGAAAAAACAATCGGAATCGCGGAGGCGGTGGACACAACAGTTACCATAGAAATTACTCCGGCACCGGAGACGGAAAGGGTATGTTTTTCAATAACGCGATGATAAGCGAAGATAGTGAATCGTCGTCGGTGATAACGACGGATGAGAACGTCGGAGGAGAACACGGACAGGTTAACTCATCTCTTCCGTATTCGGCGGTGGCTATTCCTCCACCGCCTCATCCTCCTCCGCCGCCGCCGTCTATTTACGACGCGACGGGGATAAACTACGGAGCTTACTTACCGACGTTTCCGATATTCCCGCCGGCGGCTGATAACTTCTTGTGCGGTACGAATCAACCGTTCGCGAGTATTGATGAGCAGCTTTACTTCGCGAGCAATATGAGAAGCTCTTTCTCTTCTTCTTCATCTTCTGGCTTCGATGGCTTGACCGAGTTTCGCGATTTTTAAAACTAAGATCCATCCATCACCGGCGTTACAATTATTTCCTCTTTTGGAAAATAATTATTTTTGATGTTTTTTTTTCTTATTGGTCGAGAGGTCTCGAAAGGAACTAATAAAGGTCTCTTTTTTTTTGAGGTTAATCCGGTTTACAACATATACAGGAGATAATGTCTTCTGTGATCATTTTCTTCTTAGTTAACAGGTTTTTTGTTCCCTTAGACATAAAACATATATAGATTTCTTCATTTTGTTCAATTTTTCCCAATTTTATGTTTCATTTCTAGGTTTCTTTGGGTTGATAAGAGTTTTTGCTACAATTCCCCCTGACCGGTTTAGTTGATAACTTTATAATGGTTATATCAGTTTTATAAGAATGGTTAATTTGGAACCAATAATGCATACCCCCAATGTTTTTTTTGTTAAGAAACGGATATGTTAACTGACACTACTCCTAGGTGCAATTTCAAACGTAAAAACAAAACTAATTATCTGCCATATATTTGATGTATGGTTGGTGAGTTATATAAGGAAGAACCTAAGATTTGATCCAAGTTACTCAAATTGTGAAAATGTCAAAAAGGAAATAGCGAGATGTTGTGATCTCTACAGTGTTCCTCGTCTTCATTTAGATGTTGCATTTGTGCTAATTATTGTAGTTGCAAAAAATTCAAGACTTGGCCGACGAGATTAATTTACAAAATAAAACAAGATTAATAGATTGCATAAAAACATACATACATTTATATACTATTAAGTATAGACTTTTAAGCATGTACATACACTAAATACTGTACGTCTGTGCAATTTAAGAAGGTGACTAATTAGCTGAAGACAAATTAAACCAAAAACTCCAAAGTAGACGGTTGTTTAAATCAGAGTCGAGAGTTAAATACTTAAATTAATTTGTTAAATTCCCTCTTTATAGTGGAGGAAAGCTGAAAAGCAAAGCCCTAGATTACTTTTAAATTCAGAGACACCTGCGGCCGTGTCCGGAGAGACCAATGACGGCGATACCGGATCTTCTTAACCATTTGGTAGATGAGATACTGTGTCGCGTTCCAGCCACATCCCTGAAACGGTTACGATCTACTTGCAAACGATGGAACCGTTTGTTCAAAGATGATAGGAGATTCGCGAGTGAGCACTGCGATAAAGCCCCAAAAGAGTTTCTCTTTCTCATCTTGACAGAGAAGTACAGGGTTTATCCGTTGAGCGTCCATTATCTTCCCCATGGAGATGGAGATGGAGATGGAGATGGTCTCCCATCTGTAGAGGTAAAAAGTGAGCTAATCTTACCATATCGGCATTCTAATCATCAAGTCGATATTGCCCAAGTCTTTCACTGCGACGGCTTATTGTTATGCACCCACGACGGCTTACCCCCAAACGGACCTGAATTAGTGGTTTGGAACCCGCTTACTGATCAAACCAGGTGGATCGAAGCTGGCAATTTTTGGAAGCAAAGCACCACATTTTTCTCGGCTACTGCTACAACCAAGACAAGAAGAACATGTCCTGCACTAAAAGCTTCAAAATTTTGTGTGTTGATGCTTGGGGCCAGAATACACAAATCTACGAGCTCAACTCCTCTGATTCGTGGAGGACGATTCGTGATGGTGATCTCGCCCCAGGCTGGAACACTGGTGTCGGTCTTTGGAACACCGTGTCTCTGAATGGAAATACTTACTGTATTGCTGAGGAGAAATCAAAGCCGCATCTTGGCTTCTCCTTGCTCAAATTTGATTTCTCAACTGAGAAAGCATCCGTATGTGTAGCCTCTTCCCTATCCGTGTCCATCGTATGCAATTTTGAGTCTTTCCTCCTCTGTAGGAGGAGAGAAACTTGCTCTGTTTTTACAGCCCGATCCTACATACAAGTCTGAGATATGGGTGACAAGTAAGATTGATGATGACTCCACCAAAGTGGTGTCCTGGAGCAAGGTCTTATCATTCGATTTGAGCCCTGATCTTCAAATTACTTCTGAGGTGAAATTTGTGCTTGACGAGGATAAGAAAGTCGTCGTGTGTTGTGAGAGATGGATGGACGACGACCTAATCCATTCCGACGACAAGATATTCATTCTCGGTGAGAATAATAAAGTCAGCGAAATAAGTTCTGGTCTCATGGATACAGATTATAAAGGCAATTGGCCTTTTGTCTTTAATTACGTTCCAAGTTTGGATCGAATCGAGAGACCAATGACGGCGATACCGGGTCTTCTCAACGATTTGGTAGATGAGATACTGTGTCGCGTTCCGGCCACATCCCTGAAACGATTACGATCTACTTGCAAACGGTGGAACCGTTTGTTCAAAGATGATAAGAGATTCGCGAGTGAGCACTGCGATAAAGCCGCAAAGGAGTTTCTCTTTCTCATGTTGACAGAGAAGTACAGCATTAGTCCGTTGAGCGTCAATTATCTTCCCCATGGAGATGGAGATGGCCTCCCATCTGTAGAGGTAAAAAGTGAGCTAATCTTACCATATCGGCATTCTAATAGTCAATTCAAGATAGCGGAAGTCTTCCACTGCGACGGCTTATTGTTATGCACCCACCACGGCTTACCCCCACACGGATCTGACATAGTGGTTTGGAACCCGCTTACTGGTCAAATCAGGTGGATTGAAACCGGCAGTCGTTTGAAGGGTACCAACGAATTTGTTCTCGGCTACTGCTACAACCAAGACAAGAAGAACATGCCCTGCACTAAAAGCTTCAAAATTTTGTATTTTGATCCTTTGGGAGAAATTACAGAGATCTACGAGCTTAACTCCTCTGATTCTGATCCGTGGAGGAGGATTCGTGATGGTGAACTCACCGCAGGCTGGAACACTTATGTCGCTGAGGACGCCGTCTCTTCCAAGGGAAATTATTACTATATTGCTAAGGAGAAATCAAAGCCGCATCTTGGCTTGTCCTTGCTCAAATTTGATTTCTCAACTGAGAAATCATCTGTGTGTGTGCCTCTTCCCTATCCGTTTCCATCCTATGAAATTTTGAGTGTTTCCTCTGTAGGAGGAGAGAAACTTGCTCTGTTTTTACAGCCCAATCCTACATACAAGTCTGAGATATGGGTGACAAGTAAGATTGACGATGACTCCACCAAAGTGGTGTCCTGGAGCAAGGTCTTAGCATTCGATTTGAGCCCTGATCTTCAAATAACTTCTCAGGTTAAGTTTGTGCTTGACGAGGATAAGAAGGTCGTCCTGTGTTGTGAGAGATGGATGGACGACGACGAAATCCATTCCGACGACAAGATATTCATTCTCGGTGAGGATAATAAAGTCAGCGAAATAAGTTCTGGTCTCATGGAGACAGATGATAAAGGCCTCTGGCCTTGTATTTTTAGTTACGTTCCAAGTTTGGATCGAATCGAGGGAGCTGGTGGAGGCAAAAGAAAAAGAGCGAGGTGACTAAACAAGCTCTTGCTATATCTCAAACTTCAAGCATTTCTAATCCAGTGACAAAAGTGTGTGTCTCATGTACAAAAGTTGATGTTTACTCCTGATTCACTCTTTGATTTGTCGTTTAACCTTAAGTTATGCAACTATAAATGTGTATTGAAAAGAGACTCATTAGACTTAAAGGTGCCATCAGATTTTGACCAGCACTGCATCTTCTCCCATTTCAAATTATGCATAACAATGTAACATTCAACCCCACAATGTTAGGGGCGATCACATGGTAACGCATTTGCCAATTATTTACCGTACCTTGTAGCTGTAAGAGCAGGTGCCTGCACCTTCGGAAATGAATTCAATATACCCACTTGTTTTTTGTCTCTTTCATCAATCTGTTTAGGTTCCACATTTTGATCATTCGTGTTCAAGACACTCAGTTCGTTTTGCTGCTATGCATTTTCCTTTGACGCTCCCATTTTCAATTATTTCAGAGGTGACCAAACAACAACTTCCTCCAATTGCGGATGTTGCCTTCATGCTGTTCTCATGTTTTATATCTTACCATATGAAATCCTTCCTTGTACGACCAGAACAGAATTTTTGTTGTTGTGCTCATTACCGCAGATTATGTATGTACAACTTTACTTCGTGAAATAGATCTCTCTACCTGCAAAGCCACTTCCAAATTCAAAGCCTTTTGCTTGCAGGCAACGACAGACATGCTTTTGCCAGTTCAGTCTAGAGGACCTTAAGTTCCTTAATCTTACTAATCTCATGACATGAATGAACCAGATATCACATCAATTCTCAAACCGTCAAGTTTCACGGTGGCTCCACCGTCAGATTCCATAGCTTTTCTCGACACAAGTATTAATAACCACTTATGTGTCAGTTTCTGATGAGTATATAAAATCATGCATTTAAATTTGGAGTTTTAGGTTCCTGTATATTTAGGGTTTTTGGAGTTTTAACTCACTCTCTCATCTTATGATTTTGTCTTTTTTATTAGAAAACTCTCCAATTCAATAGATAATGCTTGCTTGCTTCATATGTTATCAATTGCGTTGTTGCTTTGGTCCTAGTTAATGTGTACCTTAAGTTCCCGTACATGAATGTGTTCATTGGTCTCACAAGATTAATCTATTAACACAAAGATGAATAAATTGCATACAAACATACATTTTTATATATAAAAGTATAGATTTTAAGTATGTACATACAGTAAGTACGTCTGCAATTTATCTACGACTCCTTAGTTCTTTTTCTTATTGTTCTTGTCGTGATGGAGGACCACTGGAGCCGCTGGTATACTAAACCACCACTCTCTCAACCGCCTTATCAACCGTTCCGTGCTAGCTCTCCGTGGAGGCGAGTATCTTGTGAATAGCTCAACAAACACCACTGAAAGCAAGTAGCGTCCCGGAACAAAAGCCATCATCGTTGCCGCTACTACTATCGCAATTGCAAACTTCTCGCTCGCCTGAAATTGCCGTTTCAAATCATGGTTATACACAATGTTAGGAGAAGCGTTTGTGTTGAATATAAAAAGGCCAGGCAGACCTGAGGGAAAAGCGAGAATAACAAAGCTCGGAACTTAAGAAGAACTATGTTTGCGTCTTGAATGTTCTGTTCGAGCTCCAAGATCCCATTCTGAACCGCCAAAAGCTGTTCCATTGTGTTCATTGGTGGGGGAGCAATTACTTTCAGCTCGATCATGAGCTTTTCTCTGCTGAAACATCTTGTGAGAACCATGAAGATTGCAGAGAAGAGAGACGCAAGAGAAAAGACATAGACAAGCCACCCCCTCCAAATTATGAAGGTGGAGACGAGACAGAAAACAATAGACTTCATAGG